TGCTCTTTTTCTAATTCTTTAAGTTGTAGGGTTAGATAATTTATTACAAGTTTTTCTTATTTTTGGAGGTAGGCCTGTAGTCTATGAACTTTCCTCTCAGGACTGCTTTTACTGTGTCCCATTGATTTTGGATTGTTGTGATTTCATTGTCATTTGTTTCCAGGATGCTTTTATTTCTTCTTTGATCTCTTTGGTAACCCAATCATTGTTTAATACTATGCTATTCAGCCTTCAATTGTTTGATTTTTTTCATTGTTTTAATTGTAGTTGATTTCTGATTTTATGCCATTGTGATCTGAGAAGATGCTTGATATGATTTCTACTTTCTTGAATTTGAAGATACTTTGCCTGTGTCCTAATATGTGGTTTATCTTGAAAATGTCCCATGTGCACTTGAGAAGAATGTACATTCTGTAGCTTTGGGGTGAAGTGTTCTGACGATATCAATTTCATCTGATCTAGTGAGGCATTTAGGATTGCTGTTTCTTTGCTGATTTTTTGTTTAGAGGATTATCCAGTGGTGTCAATGGGGTATTAAAGTCCCCTACTATGATTGTATTGCTGTAGATCTATCCCTTGATATCTTCCAGAATTTTTTTTATATATTTGGGTGCTCCTGTATTGGGTGCATATATATATGTTTACCAGAGTTATATCCTCTTATTGTATCGATCCCTTTAGTATTATGAAGTGGCCCTCCTTATCTATTGTTATGTCCTTCACTTTCAGGTCTATTTTGTCAGATATAAGTATTGCTACCCCAGCTTTTTTTTCATTTCCATTTGCCTGCAAATTTTTTTCCCATCTCTTCACTATCAGTCTGTGTGAGTCCTTTGTTCTGAAGTGGATCTCTTTTAGACAGCAAATATATGGGTCATGTTTTCTTATCCATTCAGCTACCCTAGGTCTTTTGATTGGAGCATTTAATCCATTTACATTTAAGGTTATTATTGATAGGTACTTGTTTGTCGCCATTTTCATTCTTTATGCCTGTGTTCCTTCTTCCCTAGATTTCTTCTTTTTACAGTAGCCCCTTTAGCATTTCTTGCATTGCTTCCTTGGTGGTAATAAACTCCCTTAGCCCATTTTTGGACACTAATTCTTGGATTAAATCCCTTGCTTTGCATCACTTTGTATATTTCATTCCATTCCTTTTGACTTGTTGTGTTTCTGTTGAGAAACCAGTTGATATTCTAATGGGAGATCCCTTGTAGATAACTTTCTGTCTCCATCTGGCAGCCTTTAAGATTCTCACTTTGTCACTGATGTTTGTCAGTTTAATTATGATATGTCTTGTTTCGGTCTTTTGGGGTTCTTCTTGTATGGTGCCCTGTGTGCTTCTTGGACTTGTGTGACTTTTTTCTTCTCAATATTAGGGACGTTTTCTGTCATTATTTCTTCAAACAGGTTTTCTATTCTTTGCTCTGCTTCCTCTCCTTTTGGAAACCCTATTATGCTGATGTTGTTTCATTTCCTGTTGTCCCAAAACTCCCTTAGGCTCTCCTCCTGCTTTATAAGTTTTCTTTCCAGTTCGTCCTGTGCTTGGGTGGTGTTTTGTACCTTGTCTTCTAATTCACTGATGCAGTCCTCAGCTTCTTCTAGTCTACTGTTGATGCTTTCTATTGTGTTCTTTACTGTGGCTATGCCATTCTTCATTTCCTCTTGATTCTTCTTCATTTCCTCTTGGTTCTTACACATGTTGTTGAATTTGTCTTCCATCCTTTTCAGTGTCCTTATAACCATTGCTCTGAATTCTTTCTCTGACAAATTGCTTGCCTCCATTTTGTTTATTTCCTTTTCTGTGATTACTCCTTTTCTTGCAATGGGGGTTGTCTCTTTGTCTCCCCATTTTTGCTGTCCCTTTGTGATTGTTTCTATGTATTAGATCAAACTGCTATGCCACCCAGATTTTTTGAGTTTGTGTTATACAGTAGATGTTTTGTGGGGTGCAGTGGTGCAATCTCTCCGGTCTTCTAGGATGGGTATTCTAGGGATGCCCCCTTCTTGGGATATTTGGGTTTTCTTTGTGTAGTTGGGTCTTGATTGTTATTGTCCTGTTTGTGGATGGAGAGTCCTCTCAGGGTGTCTGGTTATGTGGCTCGCTGTCTACCACGTTGACCGAACAGCACAAAATACAACTCAACAAGTCACGACACAAAGGGAACAAAACACGAATGTACTCATGACCAATAACCCCACTATAAGTGACCAGAGAAAAGAGAATTAAAAGAGCGAAAAGAGAGCAAAAATGATATGGAAAAAAGAAAAGGTAAGAGAGAAAAGAGAAAGAAGGAAAAGGAAGAAAAAATATATGGGTAGAAAACACCACAGAACAAACAGATAAACCAAAAAATGCAAATAACAAATACCTAGAAAAATAAAAATAGAATGAAGAAAAAATAATGTGAAAAAAGTAAAAAATAATAAACTAAGAAAATAAAGAAGAAAAATTTTTTAAATAAAAGGTAAAGAAAAAATAAAATAAAATGAAAAAGTGTCATTTGTTTCAGCCAAGTTTTAATGCCCCATGGGGGCTGGTTTAAGATCCCATTCTCTGTTCTGTCTGTCATTTATCAGTTTCCTGTTAGGTAGTCAGCACCATGTTGAAGTTCCAAGTGATCCACTGCTCCTCTCTCTGTGTCTATTTCCACAGCCTTGCCTGCAAGCAGGTGGGACCAGTCTGCCCACTTAGCCTGTCTCCGTGCTGTCAATCATAATCTCTCAAGTGGCTGATTCTGACAGGGCTATAGGTAGGGAAGGTATTGTATTGCTTTCTGGGACTGAAAGACCTCTCTTCAACCCAGTCCCTGAGGGCTCTTCAGGGCTATTCAGATTTTTTTTGTCCTTTGTTCTGCTCAGGGTTTAGTCTCAGTGTGGCTGTATTTTTTCCCTTGAGGCTGCTGGGAGGGGCTGACTTTTCAGGAGAAAAATGGCTGCTTAGGTCCAGAGGGTCAGGAATGTCCCAGTGCCAGACTCCTGGTTACCTCTCCCTGACCAGCTCTCCTCCTCAGCCTTTCCCCAGATTCCACAAGTCCACACCTCCACCTGAACCACAGTCACAGGTGAGTGTTTGCATGTGAAAGGTCCTATGAACTGGGTTTAGCGAATAAAAGCAAAGACCAAACAGAGGCAAAACAGCTGCACGACTGCTAGTTTATAGCCCCCTGGCACGGCATGGCTCTGGCAGTTCTTCAGGCCACCCCTCTGGGCTCAGCCTCTCACAGATATGGACTTAGATCTAGAATCCCCTGCCGCCATCAGCCCTGTGGACTTCCTTTCCACAGTCAGGTTTTACACCTGTCCTCAAGGGACGCGGACTTGGTGCAGCGTAGGTTCCTTCTAACCCTCTCGTCCCGGTGCTCAGGAGACTCTCTTCAGCCCAGGTCCGGATCCTACCATTCTCCAGGCGTCCTCTGCCCTTCTCGGCTGCGAATTGTGTCACCAGCTGTTGTATTGCTTTTACAAAACCTTCTGTGAATATCAACCTTTTCGGCTTCTAGAGTCCTCTTCAGTGATCCTCAGTAAGATTTCCTTAAATGTCACTTCCTCAGAAGATCTCAGAGAGCAGAATCGTGTGGTATAATTCTTCAGGGTCTATTGGTTGATTCTTGTAAGTGTCCTGACTCGTGATCAAACCTGTAACCTTGGCATATCTGGATGATGCTCTAACCAACTGAGCTACCCAGCTAGGGCCAGCACAGTCTTTTGTCATCAGGATTTGAGGAATGTTCATGTCACTCCTGAGTTAATGCTTTACTCCAGTCACAGAAAGCATAGTAGGAAATTCCTTCAATTAGGTGTTGCTGTGAACTTGCTTCCTTAAAAACTACAGTGGAACCTTGGTTCTCAAACTTAACTCATTCTGGAAATCTGTTCAAGAAGCAATTTGTTCGAAACTGAAACATTTTTTCCCAGTAGAAAGAATGTAAATTGAATTAATTGGGTGCAGACCCCCAAATAATTCCCTGTTTTAATCTTCCTTATATACAAATACCTCTTTTCTTAAATTTATCAAACCAACCCCTAGTAGCCTTAAATGAGTCACTTCCAGCCCGCCTTCTCAGGGTGTCTTTCAGGAGGTCAGTATAGGACAGTGGTTGGCAAACTCATTAGTCAACAGAGCCAAATATCAACAGTACAACGATTGAAATTTCTTTTGAGAGCCAAATTTTTTAAACTTAAACTATATAGGTAGGTACATTGTTATTAACTTAATTAGGGTACTCCTAAGGCTTAGGAAGAGCCACACTCAAGGGGCCAAAGAGCCGCATGTGGCTCGCGAGCCGCAGTTTGCCGACCACAGGATTAATTCATCACATAATGGATGACCACGAATGTTTTTGTATTAAGCTGTTTACTGCTCTCCTGATGAAGCCTGGCACCTGCCACCCTATCCCCTTCATTTATTTTTGTTTTCTCTGCCTCTCACAATGCCCTTTCAAATTGTGGAGACAAGTGCTCCATTCAGGAGACACACAGGCCTCACCTGTGCCAAGCACGGAGGAGAGTTAGACATGACTCTAAGCAGTGTGACTTGTGGAGTCACCAGATCATGAGGCAGGGTGAGTGCCACCCGCTCAGGTCATTGTTTCTGTGGCAGCTGCTGGTCGCTGCTGGCCAGCGTCCCCAGGTGTGGCAGGGAGAACCCAGATAACCATGTGCACTGAGGGTCAACTAGGTTTCCAGGCATTGGGGGACGTCTGAAAAGAGCCAGATTGTGGCTTCCCCAGCACAGTAATCCAAGCCCTTCTAGAGCGCCCTTCAGTTCACCTTGGGCCGCTCAGTACCTCGCCTTTCCCATCTCCCTTGCCTTGCATCCAGAAATCCTCACATGCGCACAGGACTTGGAGGAGGTGCTGTCATAGCTCTGGGCTGCTGTGAGGACATTTGTTTCCTGCCTGAGAGGCGGCTCAGTAGTGGCACCGAGCTCCCAGGGCGTTTGCTTCCCTCTAGGCCTGCTGCCTGGCTCTGCTTTCTGACCGATGCTTTCTGTCTTGCAGGATGCCACCTGTGGAAATGAAACGAAGAAATAAGATCCAGCTGTGTTCATCAAAGCCAGCATTTGCCTCTCTCCTGAGGTAAACCCATGAAAGAAACTGTGGCATGTAAAGTGTTTGGCATGCGTTTGCAATCATTTCCAGTTACACTGGCTTACTTCCTTCCCGCACAAAGCTTAGCGATATAACGTGGACACCCTACATTTAAGGAAGAGCTTGAATCTCCCGTCTCCTTTTGTGCTTAGTCATACATTTTAAGAAACGTCACTGAAGGATGCAATCAAACCAGTGTTGCTTTCACACAGGTGAGATTAGGGAGGTCTGTTTGGTTTGATCATAGAAAAGTGAACTGTGTTTTAAGGTTTTATCCCCCCACCTTGTGTCCCCATGTTATTTTCCATCCTTATTTGTGGCTTCTTCCCCCTCACCACTAGGTTAAGTTTTTCAGTTAAAACTTTCACTGACTATTAATGAACTACTACACATTCATCTCTATAGAATGTAATAATGATTATTCATTATGGTTGTCAGGACTTGTAGGGAATTTACTCTTCTATCCACAAATAATTTTTGCCTCTGTCACCTCAATTTTAACAGGCTAGTCAAGATGATTCTGGATAATAATTATCTAGTCTGGGCATGATTAATTGTATAAAACAGGCATGAGGTGTTTTTTTTTTAACATCTTACCTATTAAGGATAAAAGTCACATTTTCTATTTTTATTTTGTTTTATTATATTATTGCACCTTTCCAATACTAGTTCTTTACCTTTTGGAAGCTGCAGATCCCGTTAAAATCAACCAACTCTCTGGAAACCCGCAGATATATAAACTATTTCTGCATGTGGTTATAGGTGAGCCACCACTGCTTGTAGTCTGTCCATGGGGGATGTCTGGTTAGGGCCACTGAAAGACTTGAAGAGAGATCTTATACTTTTTTGACCATGACCCATAGGAAAAAGTACATTTTACTTTTATAATTTAGTATACATGCATATTTACAATGAGAAGAAAGAATTTTTACCTCTTACTCAAGATGCCCTGTATTCTGTTCTATTTACTTAAAAAAATAGTAAAGAGACTATTTAATATTTAAGTGTTTGACCTATGAACCAGGAGGTCATAGTTCGATTCCCGGTTAGGGCAAATCCCAGGGATGCGGGCTCCATCCCCAGAAGTGGGCGTGAAGGAGGCAGCCTATCAATGATTCTCTCTCATCATTGATGTTTCTATCTCTTTCTCTCTGTCTCCCTTCCTCTGTGAAATCAGTAAAAAAAAAAACTGTTGATCATGAGTCACAAAATTGATTTTATGAACCACCTGTGGGCTGCAGACTGAAGCTTTAAAATGCTACTCTAGAATCAAGGTATTCTTCAACTTTATTTCCTTCCTGAGAAAACCCTAAGGGGTTAAAGTATTTATGAAGCTTTGCTCAGTAGGTGCAGAAGTCTGCAGTCTAATGGACAAGTAGACTTGGCATTTGTCCTGTGAGTTGTACTCGCTGGGGGTGGTGCGAACTCCTCTGCAAGGAGAAATCAGGAGCAGCTCTGCTGAGAAAGAAACCTGGAAGTGTTGCCTGCAGTGCTGTAAACAGTTAATGTGGATTTCAGCTTTGTCAGATATGGGTCAGTGACTGCCGTAATACTGTCTAGTTACTTCACTTCTCATAGCTTCAGTTTCTTTCTAAACTGACTCATAGACTTTACTGACCACTCCAAGCATTCGTTCGTAGATGTAACAATAGCAGAAATGTAATGTAATATGATACATCCTATATAATAAAAGAGAAACATGCAAATTAACTGTCCCTCTGCTACACTCAAGCCACACCCACAAGCCACGCCCACCAGCCCACCAGGAGCGGTTATGCAAATTAACCCAACTAAGATGGCAGTGGCCACGGAGCTGGAGCGAGCAGGAGACTTGGGTTGCCCCTGCCTGCCCTGAAGGGACCTGGGCTCTGATCAAGGCTACACAGTTTCAATTATAGAAGATAAATAACCCAGAAAAAAAATAAAAAGAAAAAAGGAGAGGCTGGGAGCTTGGGTC